GCCTCCTCCAGACAACTCCATTGGAGAATTCCCTCCTCCACCTTCTTCAACCTCCAGCAAGACAGGATCCCCCATAAAGAAGTCACCTTCCTCCTCATCCACGGGATCCACCAAGCGGGGCCCTCCACCAGCTCCACAGAGAGCCTCCTCCATCAAAGCAGGCGAGATCCAGGACGAGAGGCCAAAGAAGGTGGAGAGCCTTGTCAGTAAATTTGCACAGGCTCCTCAAACAGGAACCTCGTCCAGCTCCTCGTCAGTGACGGGTTCTCCATCCAAGGAATCCTCCACGCTTCCCGCTCCGCTCCCAAAGCCAGGGAAGCTGAATTTGGCAAACCTCCCATTGGCGCTCCAGGGTCTGCAAACGGGCCAACACCACCAAGCCTCTGAGTTCCCATCACCTCCTCCCCACCTCCCCCTGCTAACACTCATCACCTTGACTCCCCTGATTACTTCCCGCCTCCCCAAGTGACTTTGAGCTTTTCCCACCTCCTCCCCACCCTTCGGAGTTCCATCACCCGCCAAAGGTTGCCGTGGTGAACCCCCAGCCTCAGATGCCTCCACCTCAACAGGTTGTTTCCTCCTCTTTGTCTTCATCTTCATGGAAACAAGGCTCGCTGAAAAAGGGCACGGTCCCTCCTCCGATGCTGAACCGTCGGAGCAGCAACACAAACCAATATGACAATACAACATCAATGCCCCTGTCACCACCCCCTTTGTCTCAGACCCCACCTCCTTCTCTGTCCTCTTACTCCACATCCTCCTCCCCAATCCCCCCCACCTCCCCAAAATCAGCGGGGCCAAGCTCTTTGGCACTAAAGCCTCTTTTCCTGGAAGACCTCAACCGTACCCTTAAGAGGAAGTCGGTTTCTCGCCATGGCTCGCTCACCTCTTCCAGCCTCATCCCCTCCTCTAAGATGGAGCCTGTGGGCACCATGGACGACATGGCACTCCTCCCACCTCCTCCCCCTGAGCTCCTGCAGCAGCATCAGGGTGTCCGAGGACAGTCCAAGACTTTGTCCCGTCACCACACACACTCCCAATCCGCAAAACATGCCAACATCTCAGGCTATGCAACGCTGCGGCGAGGTCCACCGCCCCAACCTCCAAAACGGGACCAAAGCACCAAACTGACCAGTGACTGGTAGGAGGCCAGGACACGAGGTGGAACCTAATGAACTAAACTGACTTTTTAGGTCCCGCCCTTCCTGCAGAGAAGAATTAATCAACGTCTGTCTTGACTTGTCCGTCTCTCCTCATCCTAAACCATCTAACCTTGGACTCCGAACACGTAGCAAGTCGTCTTTCCTACTCTTAATCTCAGATTATGATTGTTCCTATTAGCCTCATTATTACTACCATCCTCATTATTAGTATCATTATCCTGCGACATGAGTAAATATATATATGTAAATATATATATCTGTATACAAGCAAGCCAGAAGATTCACCTATCAAGCTTTTTTCACAATGTCTGTGCAGCTTTGCATTGAAATATTCTAAAAGACGAGACTTGAACGACAACAGCAAAGAGACAATTTGCTGCAGAAGAACTGGTACTGCATGGCGCCGCTGCAACCGAAGTAGCGTTACTCATGAAGGGAAGTTGAAGGAAAAAAAAAAAGAAATGCAAAAAGTGGGACGATGTGTATAGACATGTACGTTGTGGACTGGCGGGGGAGGGAGCATTGCCATTTATTTCAAACCTTTCTTTGTGTGTGTGTTTTTATATAAGATTATTTAATACTGGAAAGATGTTATTATAATTATTTTAAGTTTTTAAGAAGTGTTAAAATGCGAATGAGTTTGACTGGAAGAGTGTCTGTACTCTCAAAAATATGTCGAAGTGTTGGAAGAAGAAGTAGCAAACAGCTGAGTTTATATTTGGATCATTTAAGCCAATCATATTTCTTACATTTAGAGCACCATGGCTGATTGGTTGGTGACTACAAAGATCTGAGACTCTGGACTAATGTAAAGCATGTAGGGCTTTGCTCAGATTAAAGCCGGTTCTTTTAAGATTTCACATCAAATTGGGAACTGCTGGAGCTAATTGACCTTCTTTCCTATCCAGACGTTCCCATCCTTTCATCTGTCCAATAGCCCTTCTAGATTTCACATCGTGACTACCAATCAGTTTTGCCATATCTGGATGTCGACCAGAACCTCCTGTAATCTGAGCTCAGCCTTGCGAGTCACCAATAACAACCAGCTACATGTTTGGTGACCTTACTACCGGTTTCTTTGAGCAGACTCCTCTGTAAATTCATCACATAGCTTTGCAGTTAGCTCGTTTTTTTTCATAGCTTGTAGACCTTTAAGCTCGACGGTTACCATGAACTGAAATGTCTCACAGAAGGTAATAAATCAATCACTTGTTTGTCATCTGAACGTCTGGTTAATCACTTTGTGAGTTGAGTATTTTAACGGTGTGAGCCCTGGGAACAAGTGCCTGAAAACATATCTGCTAAAACTTCTCACGGGTGCTGCATGAAAGACGCACCGTGCAGAGACGTTCGACCGTTACTTCTGTGATGTTAGCCATTAGCTCTCTGACTTCTGAGGTGCCATCTTTGCCAGACACTGCAAGCTGAAGGAAACAACAACATGTTGGGAAACAAGTTGCAGCTAACATGTTTGAGAGTGTAAGGGTCAGACAACAGACCTCTCTGGGACTTTATGTGTCACTAAAAGAAGAGATTCTGGAAATCAATGTGACAGATTGAAAGACATAAAGGTTCCTCTGTAAGTCATAACAAACATATTTCTCTGCACATGTTTTACTCTAGCACACCCTAGTGGTTGCATTAAAAAGGACACTGCTGGCTGCGTTGTCATGCACAGAGGCTGCAGACTCAACTTCTTTACTTTTGCAACCCTCATTTCTGTTCCCCTTATTTCTTACTTTGGTATTTTATACGTCTTAGTCTCCTCTGCACATCAGCGTGTTTGTTTTTGTGACTTTGCTTGACCGCCTAATCCCCGTGAACGAATCTGAGACAAACGAGAGAGGCTCTTTGAATAGTTTAGCCTAGTTTGTTTTAATCAGATTTCAACCTGATGTGTAAAGTTGCTGATCCGATTAAATTTAAGTTATTTCAGTTTTCAGGGCATGTGTCCAACATTGATTTGGTGCAACATTGCAATTAGTAATACTGAATGTTTTTATTAAAACCCTGACGTTTTAAGAACGTTTGGACTAAAGAAACATTTTAAATCTGTCTGTTTTTGGCTCTTGGAAGTTGTGGAGCTTCCTGATCCTGCTGACATTAAACTAAAGTGCTTCGAGTTTCTCAAAGAAAGAGAGGAGCCCTCTTAAACATCGTGAAGTGGTGCCAGGAGGCAGAAAGCACTCCAAAAGCAGCGACACAGCGAAATATTATGATGGATGCATCCTTAGATACTTAGAGAATCAGAAAGTCAGGACATAAATAAAACAGTTATTCACTCTTTTTGAAGGAACATGTCTGAAAAAAATGTAATCTTAAAGGAGCAATATATAACTCTGACCCCTAGTGTTTAAATGGGTACTGCAGTCCAGATTCTAAACATTGTAGAGAGCGGTCTCCCCCCCCCTCCTCTCTAGAGTCGATTCTCACACAGGTTGCCATGTGGTGGACACTGAAGCTTCAGTGTTTAGCCAGCTCTGCATCGGTCTGTAAACCTTTCTGCGTTCTAACCTCTCTCCATTTTTCAAAAGCATCTCCAATATTGATCCTAGTTTGAGCATGTTTCTGCTCGTGGAACTTATTAGAAACATGCAGAGGCTTTTTAGGTCGGGTACAATCACTTCTATCTGAACCAGTTCTCTTGCCCGCTTCCATCGCTGCAACACCTGTTGGTTTGACCTGATAACTGCTCTCATATCTGGCAAACCCAGGGGTGTCCAAAACGGCCGTGTGGGGGTGCTTTAAAACCGCCTTCCTTCTCTGGTCCAAATAAATCCAGAACATTCAGGACCACAATCTAAAGTTAGAAGGAGGACATACTGGCAGCTGCATTGTTGTCAGAGAAGCCAGCACTTCAACATAGCATGTTTCCTTAATGTCTGATCATATAGTAAGATCACTTTATCATTTCACTCACTACATATCTCACTGATTGGTCCTTTAAGTGCTGCAGTGACATCAGCTCAGACACTGAAGCTAGAGAAGTAAACATCTGTAGTTAATTAGCCTGATGAGACATACGTTCGCTCTCCTATATCAGAAATATTTTACAGTACTGCGTCCTGATCTCCTGAAAAAGGTTTCCCACTTTGTCAGCTCAGAGGTTTTAAGATTGTTCTTGGTTTGAGTACCTTAATGAATTAAACTTCAGTTTCCAGCGTCTCTTTGTTGTCATCCTTCTCATCACCGAAGATTAAAAATTATTTGCAAGATATTTCAACATCAGCGCAAGAACACGATGTCAAAAATGTGATATTACCCCCCCTTTTTGATTTTGAATGTGCAATCATTTGTTTTTGAAGTGCTCTGATTTAATTTATTCGTATATTTCTATTTACAAACTGGTTTCTACTCATTATTAATATAAATCTGTTATGTTCTATCGTTGAAGAGGAGACAGAAGAAGAACTTCCCGTGTACACTGACATCATCATCATGCTTGGTTTCTGATCAGTGTGTGGACGTGTTTGTCTCATGACGAGCACACGTCTGTTCTTGGTGTTCTGTTGATTCTCTCACCTCATGGCGCCGTGTGAAGCGTTAGAGTACATGTTGAAGCGGTTAGACTGAGTCTTTGTGTCTTTCTAAGGGAGTGGTGTGAGGCGTTCAAACACAACGATACTGTGCTGTTTTCTTGCCAAAATGCTTATGTTCAATAAAATGTTCAAATCAAAGTTCTAACGTGTAGCTGTGGTACGTCAGAGAGTCCTGAGTTATTGATGAGTTTATGAGAAGGTCACTGTGGTTTCAAATGAAGCATCTTCTATTTTACCATCCACACCTTTCCTTTAAAACATCAAACTATGGGTGAAAATAACTTGTTCGAGAAGCGGAACAGAGGACAGGTCAGCCTTTATTTCTCATGACTGGTTCACAGTCACAGCAGGACTCGTCCTAGTTTAACCACAGCCCGAGCTGATGGTCGGACTGGTCGGTCAGGGTCCGAAGTCCTCCTGCAGGTTCAAACAGGAACACAAAGAGAATAAGAGAAGGTCAACCAGCGGTTAAACCTCTACCAGTAGAGGGAGAGAAATGTGTTTGTACGTCTCTGCAGCAGTATTTACCAGCACGTTGATCCACTGGGAGTCAGAGTAGATGTAGAGAGAGTTTCTGTCCGTCCGCAGCACCATCACGTTCTCCCCCCGAAGCCTCCTCATCTGTCTCTCCCCGTTAGCTATAAAGATCTGCAGAGACACACACAGAGGCCCGTTTCACCCAGAAAACATATCATGGACCTGGAACTGACATGAATCCAACAGTGACACTGACCGTGTTGACTCTGCCCTTCTGCGGTTTGGGAGTCTGAACCTTTGAGCAGTTACATTTGGCTGACGGGCCGCCGTCTCCTTCGTCTCCCTGCAGACCTGGAAGGATTAGCACTACAACACAAAGTACGATTAATCAGTAAGAACGGAGAGAGGTTCTCTGTACAACATTATCAGACTGACAACATTACATTTCATATCTTATAATCTACTTTACCAGAAACTACATTCTCAGCCATTTTTGCCTTTAAGAGATGAAGAAAGACTTGAAATGCTGCGAGGGAGTGAGAGGAGGATGACGTGCAGCAAAGGGCCGAGATTGCATTCGATCCACAGACTGTGAATATGAAAGTTTGAAGCCTGAGTGACGTCACCTGTCTGTTGCTGCAGGGGGCGTTGGAGTCCCATCGACGGCGGTCTCCATGCTGGAAATGCTGTCTCAGTCTAACTTTCAGTCAACCTAACGACAGGCTGAGAGCTGGAGCTGATGCAGGTTTTAAGTCTCCTGACAAACTGTTACACCGCGCCCGCCTGTCAATCAGGTCAGCTACACGCCTTATTGTTAATAACTCTTATCCTTCATCAAATCAAAACGGATGAGTCATCAAAACATTCACCCCCCCGTACAGTGTGTGCTGATCGAGACATGAGCTAATCAGACCTATTTGGTTTTTTGAACCAGGCTGTAAACATGTCTTTTTAGAATGGGTGTGTATGTGACTTCCTGTTCTTCTGCAGCCAGCCTCTAGTGGACACTCAAGGTACTGCAGGATTTTACACTTCAGCATCGGACGTTGCTGCTTGATTTCGCATCCCAGAAATCTTACAGAGCCAAACAGGAAACTTGAGGATTTTCCGCCTCTGTACTTCTGGTTCTATCTTTGACTTTCAGTGTAAAACATCAACAGCCCCGGTCTGATCTATATTTGTAAGTTTTGTTTGTGTCCACATACTGGTTTCTTTGATACTAATCAGATAGAAAGACACCATGATGGCAAAGAACTCACCTTGTCCAGGTAGTCCAGGATCTCCAGTCAGACCATGCAGTCCTGCAGGACCAGGATGACCCTGCTTTCCTGTAGGTCCTTGAGCTCCTTTCAATCCCTGCACACAATGATTTATACATTTATCTATTGAGTGACTAATTAGACTTTTATGTGAGGACTTCCTTTCTCAAACACTCTCAGTTCATTTGTCCATATTTAATTTGTCATGTCTCAGAAACATTCTCTTCATTAGTATTCAATCAGGTGATCACTGAGAGTTTATCTCACCTCTACAATATTATTGTAGATAACAGCACATTAAACGGGGAATCCAGTGTCTTTAATTCTCGGCTACATTGAAACATGTTTGAAACAAAATACCAAAAAGGTAGGAGAAGGTTTGAAATAGCTCCATCAGATAATTCTGTGAAAGTCACCTCTTCTTCATTTAGGCCTTAACATATTTAAAAATAGGGGGGGAAGAGCTAAACTTAAAGGAGTAATATGTAATTCTGACCCCTAGTGTTTAAAATGGGTACTGCAGTCCAGATTCTAAACATTGTAGAGAGCTGTCTCCCCCCACCACCTCCTCTCTACAGTCGATGCACACGCAGGTTGCGAGTGTGGTGGACACTGAAGCTTCAGTGTTTAGTCAGCTCTGCATCGGTCTGTAAACCTTTCTGTGTTCTAACCTGTCAGACACTTGCACATCTTACTGATTGGACCTTTAAACACAACTCTGATGGCAGCAGAGACCATTCCCTCTAAAGATCACAATCAGAATAAGAAGAATCATAACTGCACAAAGACAAAGCACGATCATCTCCCCTCCTACATCATGGTTTACTCTAAAATGTTAGTTAAAAAATGTTCATCTGGATTTACTCACCAGACTTCCTCTGACTCCTGTCGGTCCTCTGGGTCCTTGCTCCCCTCTCTGCCCCGGATCGCCCCACTGACCCGGGTCGCCCTTGAGAGAATGGAAATGTTTCACTGTTTGTCTTTTATCCTAAACTGACAACTGTTTAACTTATTATTGCAGTCAGACTTCCTACCTTCTCTCCTGGTCTCCCAGCGAGGCCACGCTCTCTCTGTGGAGACAGATCGATTGGTTAAAAAGAAAAAGAATATTTATTTATGCAAAGTGTCAACACATTAAACTAAAGTTTCCCCTCACCATCTCTCCACTGAGTCCTCTGCGTCCTTTCAAACCTTGTTCACCCTGATGGACAGAAGAGAGAAGATGAGAGACACAACTCGCAAACACTAAATGTTGCTCATCAGAAATGAAAGTAAGGAAGCCCTAAGGTCAGATTTCCCTTCTCCAACAGTAAACTTCAACTTGTCTACTATCAGCTGATACCAAACTTGAATTGATCAGACAAGTTCGTTCAAATAGGTACCCTGTAAAGTGGAGAAAACTACGCTTTATTGTGAAATTCACAAAATCGTGGCAGACTTCCTGTTGACATTTCACCACAACGTTAATTGACTTTTTTGTAGGTCTTTGCACAGTTAAAAATGGTCATGCATGTAGGCGGAAAAAGCCTGTTACGGGAGGCCTTTTAAAACATTTCTAGGGGACGCCACTTAGCCATTTTGCCTCGCACTTGTACGTAAACACTTTCAAACGTAAATCAAATGCACTCTTGAACTTCATGCAAAGTTTGTTGAGTTTTCGAGCATGTTAAAGACCCCAAATAAGCGATTAGTTTGTGCAAAGAATAATTCCTTCAGTTTCAAAGGGTCCTCGCTCCAAAGTCGTGCTCGGGCCCTAATAAGTCAAGGCAGAGCAGACGACATGAAGTGACTCATGATTGTGGGCGAACTGTGTAAAATAAATTGTATGGATGCATAAGGGGCTTCTCTTTGTGGTGTTTAAGGTTTTTGAAATAAAAAAAAGACGTGCATCGCTCACCCTGAATCCTCGACGGCCCTTTTCACCCTGCAGGAAAACACACAGAACATTAATGACCTTCTTTCATGTCACCACCTCAGATCCACCAGCGAGGTTCTCCTCTGCTGCTCACAACAACACGTTCTAACTTTCTGTGATTCTGACTGAAAAAAGGAGGAATGAATTTAAAGTGAATTAACCTTCATCATTCCAGGAGTCCCGATGTCTCCATACAAACCTCGCCAGCCTCTCTCACCTTTGTCTCCCTGCAGAAAGAACAGAGCAGCACGGAGGTCGTTACAACACAATGGTTTAAATTCATATCACAAACTCTCTCCTTACATCTTACTGGAGGTTAAGTTATAAAGAAAGTGGATCTTTATGGCGTTTAAAGTCTTCGTTACCATCTGACCCGCCTGCCCCAGGACTCCTTGTGATCCAGGTTCTCCCTCTGGTCCCGTCACACCAGGTTTCCCCTGAAACACACAGAGCCGTTTTAAACTCACCGTTTAACTTCCCCTTCCGTGTTTGTGCAAGATGGAGTGGGAGCGTGGCGCCGTACCTTCCGTCCTCGCGGTCCTCTGCAGCCCTTTAACCAGAAACAACATGGAGGATTATTAAAGGGTTAAAAAAGTAACAGTCATCAGGTGTTTTCAGACCGAACAGTTCTGGGGACTTTTTCAGGAGGAACTTTCCACCACAGGGACCTGAGAACGGCACACCACGGGGGCTTTTCTTCTGGCTGCACAAGCATTGCCATGGTGACGACTGAAACGAACCTAAAAGAGACGCAAGCTGTCTGACAGTCGCTATAGCAATGTCACTCACGCAACACATCTGAAATTATGGAGGACGCCGTGGTGGGAGCCCTGTGTTTGTTGCGTTAATGACTCGTCTGAGTTTGAAAGGAGTTGTGCGAGATTAGGGAGAGTAAGACGACGGGAGTAAGACGACGGGAGAGTCGAGTCAAAATGCCGTTGTATTTTCTCCATCGTCAGAGATCTGTGTACAGCTCTCTTGTTCTTGTTTGAACGGATGTCACATTGATGCACTGGGTGTAACGATGTGCTCATGCTGTGTGTGTGTGTAGAAGGCGGTTTCTCAAACACTCAAAGTCCCTCTGGTGCTCAGAGACTTCCTGCAGCAGCAGCTACAGACAGTCCTCTAAACAGGTTCAAGGGGCTAAAAAAAAAGTTCATATTTCATGTGCAGAATCAAACAAAAGGGGGGAGGGGTCCCAACAGGTCCTAGATCGGTAAAACATTTCCTGCGGTCTGAAACGCCTCTCATAAGAAAGGTGGTGACAGTGAGCGAGAACCGTTAAAGATGGTCCACTGAAAGCTGACGTCTGATGTGACTCTTACCGTCTCTCCCTTCGGTCCTGTGATGTGTTCTGTTAGATCCACCTGAAGATTTAAACACAAATCAGGATCAGTGTGTGTGTGTGAGAGAGTGTGTGTGTGTGTGTGTGTGTGTGTGTGTGTGTGTGTGTGTGTGTGTGTGTGTGTGTGGTCACCATCAGCTCTGCTTTCTGTTTGATTGTAGGGAATAAAGGCGGAGGAAGAGGAGGAGGGATGAACGCTTGGCATTTCCGAGTCGGCGACCTGCTGCCGCCTCTGTCAGACAAAAGTTCTGCACGCACAAAAAACAAAAACATCAACATTTCACTAAAGTTCACAGCTGACTCATTCATGTTCCTCTGAGCGTTAAGCGTTTTGCATCCTTCCTGTCAGAAAATAAAAGCTGATAATATTAGCCAAGCAAAAAAGTAAAAGGAAATCAGTTCAGAGTCAGAGATGGAGCAGAGATGGTGAAGATCGGTGATGAGGTGTGGACATCTCCAAGCGTCTGAGGTCACGATAAGAGTTTACCTGAGAGGTTCAAATTAAAAGAGGCCAAAAAAAAACGTCTCTGTGCATCTCTGTGAGGAGACATATTGCAGCAACACTGCGCCCCCTGTTGTCCAGGATCGTTTCTAAGCAACAACAACAAACCCGAGCCACGACTTGACATCGCAGGAACTCTAAGAGCGAACATGCAGGGATCAGATCTGAAGGTGGAGTTCATGCGGTCTCATGTCTGAACTCACTGGTCGTGACGGAGGGAGCTGCATGCTGGACGCCGCTGAGCAAGGCAGTCCATCCCAGAAGCAGCTGAGTCAGCATCTCCTCTCGTCCTGCAGCAACAAACACCAGTGGTAATAATCATGATCATCATGAATATGGGAACATTTGCAGGTTTGAATGACGAGCTCTTTGAATAAATTACCCTAAATTAAAATCACTCCAGATAATTCATACAAACATGTGAATGTAAGCAAGATTAAAGTGGGCGTGGTCAGACTTTTTTTGACCAAGGCGGTCCAGCTGGGGCATTGACCTCTGCAGCCTGAGGCGTGATGTGCGCACAAACACACACAATTAAATATTAATGAGCTACCCTTTCTTACTTCACCAATCATATGTACTTAATAACACGAGATAACGGGAACAGCGTTATTAAAAATGTGCATGCAAACTCCTGCACCGTCTAACTTGGGATGTTTTGGTACCGACACGTTGCCAGGGAGATGGTGTGTGTTCCTCTCTTTGCAGCTGTCATTGATATGTAAAAGAAGTTTAGCACACAGTTTAAACACAGTTTAGGGTTTTTGGAGTGGCCAATCAGATTTCTAGGGGGCCCATGCCAGCCCTCTGGACACGCCCCCTGAGAAGAGATTTTTTTTTAAAGTTTCTCAAAGTACACAGGTGTGCACATGCATGCTAACTTCTTCCATCCATCCATCATCTATATCGCTTTTCCCGTTTGGGGGTCGATTGGTTGAGAGGCGGGGTTACTCTCTGGTCACCAGCCAATCACAGGGCTGAAACAGACAACCAGCCACACTCACGTTCACACCTACGGACAATTTAGAGTCACAAGTTAACCTGAAGCCTGACTCACAGGCAGCATATTTATTAAGTAGTGATTTGGAAAAAGAGTTTTTCTAGTTGACAGCAAAAAAAAAAAAAAAAAAACCTCAAGACTCAAGAAGATGACCAAACAAGCTTCAAGAACAGATACATGACCAACTCACTTCAGATGTCTTCAACATTCAACATGTTTCCTTTTCTGATTCATAAAATAAAAAACGTAATCTTTAGAGGAACTCGGTCATCTCAGCGCTCCCAGATAATCATCCTAACACGTCAGCTTGGCTCACTGGCACAGCCGATTCTTAGAGTTCACATATAAAGCAGGTTAAAGCGTGTGCGTGTGTGTGTGTGTGTGTGTGTGTGTGTGTACATGCATGTGAACGTGAGCCGTGCGTCTTACCTCCGTGTTGCCTCCGCTGCACAGCGCTGTGACGGAGCTCTCGTCCTGCAGTGGGGGGCCGTCTGCTGCTGGAGCTGCGTTCTTCTCCTGGTCATCGTCCAGCAGCAGAGTCAGAGAGCGTTCTGCTAAGTTTGCACGCCGAGTCCAACTTATCTCCATAAACTGTGGAACTGCAACGCAGCCCCTGGCAGCGCTCGGCACGGATAATCAGATAATGACTTCGGACGCTGAGCCAAAGAGAAGCTGCTGATCAGAGCCCGCTGCACATTCTGCCACTCTGTGTTATATTATCATTACTGTATTTCCTTTTACAGCCCGGGCTTTGAGCCAAACGTCCTCACACACCAGATCACATGATCCAGATCTATAAATCTGATGCAGAGAGCTCAGTGAGCGGCTTTAAGAGTCAAACGAGGACGACCGCTGAAAGGAGTAATGTTTAGGTGATAAAAAAAAAAAAAAAAAAGGGAAAATCTCTCATTTTAAATCTCACCTTTATGTTTACTGTACACGGTGACATCACTAAGTGGGTGTGGTCAAAGTCCAAACAATGATGTAAGAATATCCCTTTTTCTCTGATCAAAAACTGAATTTGAAATAAAACTCCAAAATAAATATTCTTCCCTAAACCTGGATGTAGAGTTCATCACATGAAGTGCAGTGTTCTTTAAAGGAGCAGTATGTAACTGACACCTACTGTTTGAAATGGGTACTGCATTCCAGATTCAAAACGTCATCATAGAGTTTCAGAAGCATCTCCAATATTGATCCTAGTTTGAGCACGTTTCTGCTCGTGGAGCTTATTAGAAACATGCAGAGGCTTTTTAGGTCGGGTACAATCATTTCCATCTGAACCAGTTCTCTTGCCCGCTTCCATCGCTGCAACACCTGTTGGTTGACTTGATAACTGGTCTCATATCTGGCAAACCGAGGGGCGTCCAAAACAGCTGTGTGGGGGTGCCTTAAAACTGCCTACCTTCTCTGGTCCAAACAAATCCAGAGCATTCAGGACCAGAATCTAAAGTTAGAAGGAGGACATACTGGCTGCTTCATTGTTGTCAGAGAAGCCAGCACTTCAACAGAGCATGTTTCCTTAATGTCTGATCATATAGTAAGCTCACTTTATCATTTCACTCACTACACATCTCACTGATTGGACATTTAAATATGAAGTACGCATTAATAATGTGGACACAAATCCTTATCAGATGTCTTTTTATTGAAATATTTTAAAACCACAAAAAGAGGCTGAAGTGCAGAGTGTTACCACGTAGACTTTGTGACATAAAAACAAGATAAGACATGAAGTAACCGAGAAGCAATCCAACAAAATATACAGGAGCAGTGATGAGGTGAGATGTAAACGTCCTTAAAAAAAAAAAAAAGGCAGGCACATGGAGCAAGGTAGTGCCACGACAGGAGCGTATGTACAAAGAGGGAGGAGTCAGCAGCAGGACTTCAGTCTAAGAGGACAAAAGAAAAATAAACATCCACGTCAATACTACAGCGTCTAAAAATCTTCTGACAGCCTGAAAAGTGAGGCTGTGCTTCCCTTTGAGTGTTCCTTTAAAAATGTTTAAACTACACGACAGATCGAGCTACAAACGAGGGGCGGAAATATGCCACGAGCAATTTTTTAAAACACCTTCGACAAAGAAAAAAAAAATCAAAATCTGAAAAAAAGGCTTTCTGGGTTAAAATCGTTAGAAGTCCTCCGCTGTAAAATCGTCCGCTTCAAGATTTCTCAACACAAAGAAAGTCTGATGTTTGTGTATTTTTGCGCCTGTTCAGATGTTTAATTCAGTCCTTTCAGGGCGCCTCGTCCGTCTTGCAGAGTCGTTTCTGCAGCTCGACTACCACGTGCCTCATCATGCCTCCCAGCTGGTCGTGCACCGAACGAGCTGCTGTGGTGAGCACTGAGCGAGTCCCTGTGGAGTCATCCTGCAGGTCAGAGCGTCCACCTCTGCCAGAAGACCCTCCGGCTGCAGAGGTCGTACAGGCGTTTCCTCTCCGGGCGCCGCGTCACGTGTCTGATACACGGAGACGCCGTTCTCTGGCTTCGTATCTGCAGGAAGGACGGGCTCGTCGAGCAGCTCTGTAGCTGCAGAGGAAGAGAGGATGATTTTTTTAACAGTGGAAGTAAGGTTAATAAAACCCGCCTCTTAAGGAGATGGTTCTGTATTTTTGAAGCGTGGTTGTTTGAGGTAGTTGTTAATAGTCAGGTTATTTACCACCGGTCAGCTCGGCGCCTTTATTGACAAGTGGGTCACGTTGCAGCTTGGCAACACATCGCTGCACACAGGGCCGTTTGTGTTTCACTCACCTAGCGTCTCTGCTGAGGTCTTGTCCTCTTCATCCTGATTTTGAGGGGTCCTGGTCTCCTCCAGTTCAGAGGTCATCATCTCGGTTTCATCAAAACTCTTGAGCTCATCTCCGCCTCGTCCTTTACGCTACAGGAAAACGTTTCAGACGTCAAACACAACACATTTCACCTCCACATACTGAAACACGTTCATTTGGACTCCGAGCTCTGCACCTGTTGCTCGTAGATTTTAAGTGCCTTCTTCACGTTGGAGATCTTAGGGGAGCGGATCGGCAGAGTCTTGATTTCCCCAGGCGTCAAAGCGCTGAGGTCACCCACAGTTTTGATGTTTCTGGCTCGAACAAGCTGCCCGAAACCACGAGACCTACAAGGAGAAGCAAACAGCGGTTAGAAATGCACACACCTGAAGAGTCACTGTGATCCTGCCTGTGTTAAACTCACCACATGTTGGATGAGATCTGAGGGAGAACAGCTTCTACAGGTGTAGAGCAGCCAACCAGCGCAGGGTAGATGCAGTCTCTAGAGACCGGCCGCGGCTCCTGGCTCATCTCAGAAATCTGGAAGAGGATTCATTCTACTGTTAGGACTAAAGACCTCTAGAGAGCTAAAGATACACTCATGCTATACTCTTCTACCTGGAAGACTTCAGAGGAAACTTACTGTGCAGAAATAGATCTAACTTCAGTTTTAACCTTTTTAGACTTCAGGCTTTCTGAAGTTGTATTAAGCGTTAATTTGCAGCATGAGAGCTTAAAGAACTTTGGCTTTTTAATGGCACTTTCTCTTTTGTAGTTTGATTCCAGTTGTTTCTGACTGCTACAGGAAAGAATATCTAGTCTTAAAGGTCCAATCAGTGAGATGTCTAGTGAGTGAAATGATAAAGTCATCGTACTATATGATCAGACAATAAGGAAACATGCTATGTTGAAGTGCTGGCTTCTCTGACAACAATGCAGCAGCCAGTATGTCCTCCTTCTAACTTTAGATTCTGGTCCCGAATGCTCTGGATTTGTTTGGACCAGAGAAGCTAGGCGGTTTTAAGGCACCCCCACACGGCCGCATAAAGGTTTACAGACTGATGCAGAGCTGGCTAAACGCTGAAGCTTCAGTGACCATCACATGGTAACCTGTGTGAGCATCAACTCCCAGAGAGGGAGACAGCTCTCTGCAATGTTTATAATTTGGACTGCAGTACCCATTTTAAACACTAAGGGTCAGAGTTAAATATTGCTCCTTTAATGTTACTTTGAAACTTTTGCATACCAGGCATTTCTTGGAGCTCTTGAAGCCAGGACTGTGCAAACTTCTGGGACTCAGTATCAGCATCCCCTTTGTTGGAGTGGTGACAAACTGGAATAATGAGGTTGTGTTAGAACAAGTCTGACCAAGTTGATACATAAAGACTCTTGTTTATTTGGATAGGTATGTCGAAGAGTAACTCTAGCATCGTTCCTACCTTGGGCTGAGGGATGTTGCTAACTTTGGATCTTCTTGGGGAGCTGGTTCTTAACGCAGGGCTGCGTCGGTCGATGTCGTCAGCAGTTTCCTGATGTTGGATTGGATTAGCAAAGGACACACGCCTGGACTGGAAAGTTACAAACAATAGAAAGTTACTTTCATCCATCTCATGCCTGAACTTCTAAAACTTTAAAATAATTAACGCTACAGTCACTTACTTTGACCAGAGGTGAGAGCGCCTCCTCCTCTAACGGTCTCTTCTGGCCCTTTTTGAGAATACTGGTCGACGGGGAGGCTGAAGGAGACCAGGATCCTCTGGTCCTGCCACTGGGGCTTTGGCCTACGTCTTGACCCATTACAGCCTCCAGGTCCTTTTGCTTTGCCGGAGAACCCTGAAGTTTTTCGGCATTCTCCAGGCTGTTTGTCGATTCTGATGACACTGAAGTATTCAGAGCATCTTTTGAAACTGCATCCACGTTGTCAGCTAAATCGTTTATTGTGTCAGTGGTTGGTGTTTCCTTTTCTGCCTGGCAGTAAATAATCTCAGTTTCTGTATAGATCTCTTGTGAGGTGTCGTCGACAGCACAGGGCATCACCTCTAGCATTGAAAAGTGGTTGTCTTTAGATGATTCCTCGACTGGAACAACTGGAAGAATTGGTTGTTCTTGGTGATTTGAATCTGATTCCACATTGTGTTCCTCTGAAACTTCAGCCTTCTCCTCTGAAGAATCTGAGACCTGCAGCTGCTCTGGCACCTCATCAGGGGGCACCATTTTTTCCAAAGCAGCCAACACCGACTCCTGCATTGGCTCCGCACTGATTTGTAGAGATTCAGGCTCATCAACAGATTTCAAGTCCCCAGTTTTTCGGGGAGAGGTTTTATGAATTTCTGTTTCTGTGTCCGTTTGACTTTGTTGTTCTTTACAAGGTGACAATGCGAGGACTTCGTTAATCTTTGTCGTGTCTGCCTCAGAATTATCCTCTACTTCTATGGGCGACTCTTCTTTACTTTCCTCCTCAACACAACTTGTCCCCTGTGGGGGTTCAGAAACCTGTGAACCCTCTGTTGAATTCTCTAAATCTGTTGTCGTCTTAGCTTCTACGCTTTGTGAAGCCTGAGAATCATCCATGTCCGTATTTGTATCGATGGCGTCTTCTTTAGGTGGAAGCGCGAGGGGACTTTGGAGCGATGCTTTAGGTTTCCTTCCTCTCTTTTTAGGAACACAAGGACTTTCTTTGGCCTCCGATGAGTCACACTGTGAGGACTCTGCGCTGGCTACCAACGCTTGAGAGGATCTTCTTGAGTATCTGCCCCTGCCTTGAGAGGACTCCGTTGATTCTGCAGCGTCCAACACCTGAGATCCTCCTGGCGTCGAGTTAGGACTTGATTTTGATTGCTCCTCCTTTGCCATGCTCCTTCTGGTCCTTCCTCCAATTCCGGTCTCTGCCTGGTCAGGAGTTTCTAATATCTGAGAACTTGATC